CTGAGAGGGTACGTCTAGACTACATGCCTGGGAGGCATACCTGGGAGGTCGACAAATGCCTTTGATGTCCACCGCAGAACATCCAGACTACCGCGGTGAGCCGACAAACAGCTGATTGGCTCAGCACGGCAGCCATGTAAATTTAAATGAAGCGGCGATTATTAAAATCGCCTCTTCTTTTTCCTATGCCGGTTAGCCTCATCTACATGCGTCTGGTGACAGAGGCATGTAGTCTAGACGTAGCCTTAAACACCTCTAGGGATGGAGATTCCTCCACCTCCCTAGGGAACCCATCCCAGCGCTTCCCCACCCTCCTAGGGAAATAGTTTTTCCTAATATCCAACCTAGATCTCCCCCACTGGAACTTGAGACCATTGCTCCTTGTTCTGCCATCCGTCACCGCTGAGAACAGCCTCTCTCCAGCCTCTTTGGAACCTCCCTTCAAGAAGTTGAAGGCTGCTATCAAATCCCCCCTCGCTCTTCTCTTCTGCAGACTAAACAAACCCAAGTCCCTCAGCCTCTCCTCATCGGTCATATGCTCCAGCTCCCTCATCATTTTGGTTGCCCTCTGCTGGACCCTCTCCAATGCAGGCACATCCTTGCTGCAGTGGGGGGCCCGGAACTGGACACAATACTCCAGATGTGGCCTCACCAGTGCCAAATCCTGGGCACTGGGGGATGTGTTGTGCTCACCATGTTTCTGTCGTTTGAGTGTCCAGCTCCGTCAGCCATGTGATCTGAGTGCCCCGGAGTTGGTTTCACGTGCCAAGGGGTGGGGAGGGAGGAGAGTTTTGTGCAGTTACAATATATACAGTTGGAACTTTCACAAACTCCTGTTTACAGCCAGGGGATGCTGCAGCTGCCCAGAGCCGGCTGTGCCCTGGAGAAAGTCCTTCATCGTGCTCCTGGGAAATTCCTCTTTCCACTCACACTCAGGCTACGTCTACGCTGCAGGCTTCTTGCACAAGAAGCTTTTCACAGAAGAGATCTTCCGCCAAAACTCCTGCACAAGAGCGCATCCACACTGCAAACGTGCATCGAAAAAGCGATACCCTTTTGCACAAGAGAGCATCCAGACTGCATGGACGCTCTCTTGAAAGGCAACTCTGTTTGCTATTCACAGAACAGCCACCAGGGCACCTGTGCTTTTCTCGATTGCCTCTTTTTGCGCAAGAAACCCCTGTTCCCTGTCCACACACCTTTGTGCGCAAGAACTTTTGCGCAAAGAAGGAGGAATACAGGAGGCCCCTGACTTGCGATGCAGTTGGTTCCGGGGGAAGCATCGCAAGTCGGGGGCATCATAACTCAAACCCTCATTTACGTTAGGCGCTGTACGCCGTCATAAATGTGGTCCAAGGACATAAGTCTGGGGTTTCTGGCTCCTTCTGCACTTATAAAAGTGGTTGTAAGTGTGGGGGGGGTCGCAATTCGGGCGGTCGCATGTTGGGGGCCTCCTGTATCTACTCCAGAAAACCCCCTCTGTTCTTTTGTGTGACTTGTGCAAAAATGCACGTGAGGTGTGGACGGTCGCGCGTTTTTGCACCAAAACTCTGTGGTGTAGACCTAACCTCAGTCTTGGCTTGCCCACCAGAGGGCGCCTGTGTCACGCCATAAGGCCATGCCCCTCAGGAGCACGAAGGAGAGCCCCCCTCATGTGGCATTTGACATTCCCCCTCCCCCCACTGCTTCTGTAGCTTCGGCCTCTGCTCTACTCACCTGGGCTCCCCCGCGCCCTGCCGTGGCCGGGGGAAAGGCTCCCAGAAGGGGTCACAGGCCCCTGCCGGGAGGGGTATAGGCTGGAAAGGAGGTGGTTCGCAGCGGGAATCCTCAGCCAGAGAGCAATCGGGGTGCGACTGTCAGAACCCTGTGCAGCTGCCGAGCTCACGTCCTGCTGCCGGGTGGCCCCCCCGCCGTGCGCGACACACGGCCCGAGGCAGCATCCCCCGCTTGCCGTACATCTAGGGCTGCTCTCCTGCCTCCTGTGCCAGTGCCAGTGCCAGTGCATGGGGGCGATTGCTACCCCCCTCCCTCCCCCGAGTCCTGTGTTTCTGTGACCCTCCGCTTTTGATTTTTAATGGTTCTCGCCCGCGTGGCTGCAGAGAAGGAATCTCGAAGACGTGGTCTGAGAGTCACTGAGGGGTTGGGGAACTGGAGGGTGGCGTGGATAAAACATCACGTGGCTTTTCTAAGCTCCTGGCTTTTAAACCCCAGCCCATCGCTGGGGGTGGGAGTGAGCCGGGGGGGCTGGCTCATGTCTTGAATGCCCAGGGTAGGCGATATTGTCGATGTCTAGGGTGGAGCTTCTCTGTCCCGGTCACTGGCCCCTTGGGGCTGCTTCTGTCTCCCAGGCTCTTGGCACAGTAGGTCCCCAGTGTCTGTGGGGAGAACAATCTTTCTTCCTGCACTTGCTCCTAGAGCAGGGGTCTTAAACTCAATTAACCAGTGTCAGCCCTCAGTCTTCCTAGCAGGGCAGCAGCTCGTCCCTTAGCCCTGCCTGCCACCCCCAGGTGACTTAAAACCTTCCAGGGAGCCCCCCCACCACAGGCCCAGGCAGCGCAGCAGGGCTAGAGCGGCTTCCTGCTGCTAGCTCCATTGCCCCCAGGGAGGTGTGCGCAGAGCCGTCCTGTCCACTGGTGTCAGCTGGGCAACTCTTAACTCATTTTGTGAAACTCACTAGCTCTCCAGACACCAGCTCTCCTGACTTGATCACAAGTCAACTGATAATTCGGGCTCCCCCCCCCCTCCCCCTGGAAAACTCCAGCCACGTTATTAGAATTAAGCCAGGTCTGGAAACTTCACCGCCGCCATATCTCATGCACCGCTGTTAACTGCATTGTATTAGGAGAGGACCCCTGCCTGCTTTTTCTTCCTTTTTTTTTAAAGGAAGACTTTAGGTCTCATGGTTTGTGGATTAAAAACTAGAAAACAGGACCCAAGTTCAGCCAAAGGCCTCAAACACTAGATGCCAAATTAAAAAAAAAATCCCTGAGGGTATGTCTACTCTGCCACCCTAGTTCGAACTAGGGAGGCTAATGTAGGCATTCGAACTTGCAAATGAAGCCCGGGATTTAAATATCCCGGGCTTTATTTGCATGTTCCCGGGCACCGCCATTTTTAAATGCCCCGTAGTTCGAACTACCTGCTACACGTGGCACGGACTAGGTAGTTTGAATTACCTAATTCAAACTACCGTTACTCCTCCTGCAATGAGCCATTCCCAAACCTGAGCCAGTCTTTTCAGGTGACAAATCTGAGGAATTGTCCCAGATTGAGGTGTCATTAGAGGAGGTTTTGGAACTCAATTTGCTTATCAATGTATCAAAAAGTTGATCACTTTTAAATTTAACAGTAACAAGTCACCGGGAGCAGATGGCATGCACTCAAGAGTTCTGAAAGATCTCAAACGTGAAATTGCAGAACAATTAACCGTGGTTTGTAATCTATCCTTTACATCAGCTTCTGTACCTAATGACTGGAGGATAGCTTGTGACACCAATATTTAAAAAGGCTCTAGAGGTGATCCTGGCAATTACAGACCGGTAAGTCTAACATCGGAACTGGGCAAATTAGTTGAAATTATAGTAAAGAATAGAATGGTCAGACACATAGATGAACATAATTTGTTGGGGGAAAAGTCAACATGGATTCTGTAAAGGGAAATCATGCCTTACTAATCTACTAGAGTTCTTTGAGGGAGTCAACAAATATGTGGACAAGGTAGATCCAGTGGATAGATCCAGATTTCCAAAAAGCCTTTGACAAGGTCCCTTACCAAAGGCTCTTAAGTAAAGTAAGTTGTCATGGGATAAGAGGGATGGTCCTGTCATGGACTGATAACTGGTTAAAAGACAGGAAACAAAGGGTAGGAATAAATGGTAAGTTTTTAGAGTGGAGAGAGGTACTTAGTGGTGTTCCTAAGGGGCCATACTGGGACCAGTCCTGTTTAACCTATTTATAAATGATCTGGAGAAGGGGATAAACAGTGAAATGACAAAATTTTCAGATGACACCAACCTGCTCAAAATAGTTAAGACCAAAGCAAACTGTGAAGAGCTTCCAAAGGTCTCACAAAACTAGGTGACTAGGCAACAAAATGAATTTTAATGTTGATAAATGCAAAGTAATGCACATTGGAAAAAATAATCCCAACTATATGTACAAAATGATGAGAACTAATTTAGCTCTAATCACTCAAGAGAGAGATCTTAGAGTCATTGTGGATAGTTCTCTGGAAACATCCACTCAATGCGCAGTGGCAGTCAAAAAGCAAACAGAATTTAGGAATCATTAAAGGGGCAGAGAATAAGACAGAGAATATCTTATTGCCTCAATATGAAACCATGGTATTCCCACATCTTGAATGCAGTGTACAGATGTGGTTGCCTAATCTAAAAAAAAAAGATCTCTTGGCGTTGGAAAAGGTTCAGAAAAAGGCAAAAACAATGATTAGGGGTTTGGAACAGGTCCCATATGAGGAGAGATTAAAAAGACTTCGACTTTTCAGCTTAGAAAAAAGGAGAGTAAGAGGGGTTATGATAAAGGTCTATAAAATCATGACTGATGTGGAAAAAGTGAATAAGGAAAAGTTAGTTACTTGTTCCCATCACATAAGAACTAGGGGGTCACCAAATGAAATTAATAGGTACAAGGTTTAAAACAAATAGAAGGAAGTTTTTCTTCATGCAGAGCACAGTCAACCTGTGGAACTCCTCGCCAGAGGATGTTGTGAAGACCAGGACTTTAACAAGGTTCAAAAAAGAGCTAGTTACATTCATGGAGGTTAGGTCCATTGATGGCTATTAGCCAGGATGGGTAGGAACGGTGTCCCTAGATTCTGTTTGTCAGGGGCTGGAAATGGATGACAGGAGAGAGATCACTTGATTAGCTGTTCTGTTCTCTCCCTCTGGCATTGGTCATTGTCGGCAGACAGGATTCTGGGCTAGATGGACCTTTGGTCTGCCCCAGAATGGCCGTTCTTACGTTCAGGCCAGTTCCATTGTAAGTGAATCTGCTTGTGGGAGATGAGCAGTTCCCATTTAGGAGCGCGGTCTATCTGGCTGGCCTGGTTATTTCGTCGTCTGAGAGCTCCTCATAGAGGAGTGGGTGTCCGACTGGCGGCGTGCGGTGCAGTACCAGAGGCAGATGAAGAACCCTGCAGGTGGAAAGCACATGGTGAGCTTTCGGTCGCTAGGGTGATGCGGGGGCCCACGGCAGTAAGCGAGTAGCAGCAGGGTGCTCTGACTTCTGACCTCACAGCGACCCCCACATCCCCTCTCCTCTCTGCCCTTGGATTCTGAGGTGGGGGCAGTAGCAGCAGAGGTGCACTGGCCAGGTGGTGGCTGCGGGCTGGGCTACTTATAACGGCGATGAGCGAGAGCTAGCAGGAACCTTGGGGGGACTCTGCCACTCCTAAAGCAGTGGCCATGGAAACGTGGGGCTAAGCCAGCCGTGCCACCCCTCCACAGAATCCCCCTTGACAGGGCTTTGCTTCTGGCCTGGCTACTTCTGCTTCCATCCCATTTGTCCCACTGCCCCAGCCGGCACCTTCACTCACCCTGTAGGGAGTTGATGATACTGAAGAGGAAGAGCTGAGGCACCAACAAGACCCCAAAACCAAGGAAGGCCAGAGCCCAGGTGGTTCCCAGCAGGCACGTCAGGCCCAGCACGGTCCACAGATCCTTCTTCACTCGCGCTTTCTGATTCTCCACGTTGGATCTCCACAGCCGCAGCAGCCGCACGACGGCGACTAAGATGACCATGTTGAAGAGGACGGTAAGACCAGCATAGCCCGGGGCGAGGGCGTAATGAACACCCAAATCTGTGATCCAACACCTGTGGGAGAAGAGAAGGAATTGCTCCCATGCTGCTGCTACCCGGTGGGGATTGGCTCGTGGCGGAGGGGATATCTTGCTTTGGGAACCATGGCACCAGGCCATGAGAATTACCCCATTCAGGCAGGATCCTAGGTTCCAAGCCCCTTGGTCAGGGCCCAGAGAGCTTGGCAGACGTCCCCACAGGGCTGCTGAGGAACCCGCTGATTTGCTTGCCAGGAAATGGGATTCTGGATTAGGACAGGAGGGACGTCTGTCTCGGACGGGGTGGATCGGCTTTGGGGTGGCTTAGTGTTGCTGGTGAGTTCAGGCTCCATTTTGCTTTAAGAAATCCAGGCGTGCCTTGGATCCAGTGGGCCCTAACGGTGACTAGCAGTGCTGCAGACCATGTCGGGGAGAGTGGGACGAAATTCTGCAGCCACAGTGTTAATTTCTGCAAAATTCTGCATCGCTCACTGGTATGAAATACCCCCACTGATGCTATGTACTCCCTGCACCTTCCATTGATATACATGATGCCACGCGGGGCGGTGCACAAGCCACCCCTCCTAAGGAATGTAAATTACAACCAGTCTAAGTACTGGCATGAACAGCGCTGTGTTGGTGGAAGAGCTCTTGCACACTCTGTAGCACAGCTGTAGCCTTAGTCTCCAGGGCCCCAGGATGGGAAGGGAGTGTCCATGGACTAGGAGGCAGACTATGGGGTGTAGGGGAACAGACTTGTTTTTTGGGAGGTTGCTTAGGCAGGGAAGAACCGGAAGGGGCAGAGGAGCACAGAGACTGGTAATGGCAGCAGACTCTCAGTGCCCGGGCTGGCCCCCATTATGACAGAGCGTGATTGTGTGGGGACCTCAGGCCCACGTCTCACACTTACATGGTTGCATTATTGTAGCCAGTTTCAGTTCGAATGTCATACTTCCCGTAGATCCCGGACTTGATGAGGATGCTAAGCACAGGTAAGGCGGGCAGTCCTGGGGGTGACAGGAAACACATTGACTGAGCTACGCCTAGACATGATGGCACTGTGTAAGAAGGAGCCAAGTGATGGGAAGGCAGGGGTCTGGGCCGCTGATCCTGGGACACAGGAAGGCAGAGAAGGATGTCGGAGGAAGGAATTGGACACTGTGGCAGAGGAGAAATGCAGTAATGGACGAGGGTGAGAAAGCTGGCCAGCAGCGATGGGAAGCAGCTCAGAGTGATGCCGTGGGGATGCCATTTTAGAGAGCGGAAGCACAGAGGCAGGTCGTGGCTCTGGGATGCAGGTGGAGGAACGTCTCTCAGCGTGGCTGTGCATCTAGGCACAATATCAAGCCACAGATGCTTCCGCCGTCCCAGCGCGCGCCAGGTGAACCCAGCTGTCTCCTAGCAGGTGTTGGTAGGCTCTGCCCCACTGCCTTTCCCCACTGCCCTGTCATGCACGGAACACGGGAACATTAGAGGTGGGCCTCACTCAAAACCCACGAGTGTTTAGGAAGGGTATAAACTCAGCCACCTGCCCCTACTTGGTTAACTATACAAGAAGCGAATGCACGGCAACAGCAATGATTATATACCCTGGGGGAGATGGGCTAGAGCCACAGTCCTCTGGCTCTCAGAATACAACCAGAGGAGTACGCTGACCAGCAGGGGACAGATTCCCTCCCACGTACCAAGGCCTGGCTCTGGCCACCCCCCTCCCCAGATCCTGAGTGTTTGGAATGTGGACACATCTCTTGCTGGCATCTGGTGACCCGACAGGGGGCAGCGGAAGGGCTGTGCTTTCGGTGGGAGGGATGGAGCTTCTCATGCGCGGTGAGGGAGGGTAGGGAACCTGCACTCACCCCAGCCAACTGCACACAGCTTGAGGACGTATCTCCTGAAGTACACGTTGTAGACCTTGATGACGAGCAGGTAGAGGTGGAAGCCCTCGATGGCCATCCAGGTCAGGGAGCAGAGCAGGGAGTAGTGGAGGAAGGCGGCGGTGCCCCAGCAGAGCCACGTGGAGCCCACGGATGCCAGCGGCTCGCTGAGCAGGAAGGAGACGTTGAGCAAGAAGAGGGCGCCCAGCAGGTTCATGTGGATTTTGGTTGTATAATCGCTGCTCCTTTTCCTAAGAGGAGCACAAGGAATAGGACTCAATGCAGGTCACTCCCACCCCACCTGGGACATCCCCTCCAGCCTGCCTGTGCTGCAGGAGAACCCAACGGGTGTGGCCCACCCTGATAGGGCCCACACTGGGTTTTTTTGGCATAATCAGGTCCCTTCCAGGGCTCCCGATGGCAATGCACAGGCAGGGCACGCCGCGTAGGGCCAGGCCTAGCGAAACTGCTGTTCAGTGTGCATGGGGCAGCAGGTTTAAGTGCTACCAGCTGCAGGATAGCCGAGCCTACCCCAGGAAGCCGTGCCAGCAAACCCTTCCTAGTGCCGACAGGCCCGAGTGAGGCGGGGAGCTAACCAGCCAGAGGACCACAGGAAGAATTCAAGACCGCCAAGCCCTGGCCCAGATCCTACGCTGCTTCGTGCTCTAGGCTTCAGTGGAGCTTGGCGGCTCTCCAGCTGTCTGCTGCGCTGGCCCCTGTCTCGCTCCTGCTGCGTGGGGCGTGAGGATAACAGTGGCTCTCTCCTGGGAGCGGGTCGCGGAAATCCCAAGCAGGGGCTGGGAGAGTGACTCCAGGGGCCTCCGCAGGGAGCTCCCCAGCAGGTGAGTTTGGTTTAGCATCTCTCTTGAGAGAGCCCCTGTTGCTCCAGCCCAGCCAGGCCCCATCCCCCCCCGCCAAGCCGTGGTGGGCAGGGGCCGCTCTGCACAGCAGCGCCGTTACCTGGAGGCGAGGTAGAAGAGGACGGTGAGAAGTGAGGCAGCAGCCGAGATGCTGCAGCCCACGATGGAGATGTAGGTGAGAGGAGCCAGGAGGTCCTTGTCGATGGCCGCGGAGGATATTTTCTGCAAGGGATGAGGAGGGAAGGGGTGAGGAATGACGGGAACGCAGCCTTTGCCCTGGCACTGCCAGCCTGGCCTTTTTGTCTTCCCTTAAGCCCCCCCGCCAGCTTGTTCTGGCCTGGGACTTGTTCTTCCAGTGAACCCCTGAGGCTGCCTGGCTCTCACTGGCCTCTGTCCTGTCTCATGCCCCCTCCTAGAGCTCCACGGAGGGACTGCCTCCAGCCTCTGTCCTGATCCCGGCTGCTGCCTGAGACGGGTTGGTCAGCAGGTCCAAAAGGTTCTCCCCAGCGGAGGGGTGAGACCGCGGGGGGTTAGGGCTGAGGTGTCCTAGTGTAACCCTTGTGGGCGGGCATTGGCACACACACCCTGGGGTCAGGAATAAGGCAGCTTGCAGGATCGCACTGAAAGCCTCTCAGCCCCCTGCAGGAGCCCTAAAGGAGCCCAGCCATGGGGGAACAGAACTGCTGGAGCATGGGGAGCTGCTGGCCGGGAGGGCGTCAGGGAGAAAGAGAACAGGAGGGGAGGGATGTGTTCTTTGGAGCACCTGAGGGAGCATGGCTGGGGCTGGGGGTGGGGAAAGCCTCGTACCCCCCAAGCAGAGTAAGAGCTGGAGCACGGGGGTATGTCTACACTACCCCGCTAGTTCGAACTAGCGGGGGTAATGTAGTCATCCGCAGTTGCAAATGAAGTCCGGGAAATTCAAATCCCGGGCTTCATTTGTATGAAGCCGGCCGGCGCCATTTTTAAATGCCGGCTAGTTCAGACCCCGTGCCGCGCAGCTACATGTGGCACGGAGTAGCTAGTTCGGATTAGGCTTCTAATCTGGGGAGAGGAGACGCCACCTCCCTACCAGCAGCACAGCAAAGTAGGTGAGGTGTCTGCACATGCACAGCACCGTTCTCGCGTTGTGGACGGTCTCACAGCCAGCGCTGCTCCAGTGCCCCAGGCCTCTGCCTCCTGCAAGCGGGAGAAAGGACTTGAAGGAAAGCCGCCCGTGGCCACAGAGCAGTGAGGCCCTACCTCAGCAACATCTGCCGAAGCAGCCAGTCGCTTAAGGGCTCAGGTCCAGTCAGTGTTTTCTGTGGGGCTTCCTCAGCACTTTTGAAAATGTTAACTCCCGTCTCCAGCAGCAAAACCCGTCCAAGGGAGCCAGAGCCGGTCTTAGGGGCCGACAGAGCCGGTCGTCGC